CCAGATTTAGTTAGATTGATCTAAACGTACTTGACGTCATCACTGTCCCAGATTTAGTTAGATTGATCTAAACGTACTTGACGTCATCACTGTCCCAGATTTAGTTAGATTGATCTAAACGTACTTGACGTCATCACTGTCCCAGATTTAGTTAGATTGATCTAAACGTACTTGACGTCATCACTGTCCCAGATTTAGTTAGATTGATCTAAACGTACTTGACGTCATCACTGTCCCAGATTTAGTTAGATTGATCTAAACGTACTTGACGTCATCACTGTCCCAGATTTAGTTAGATTGATCTAAACGTACTTGACGTCATCACTGTCCCAGATTTAGTTAGATTGATCTAAACGTACTTGACGTCATCAATGTCCCAGATTTAGTTAGATTGATCTAAACGTACTTGACGTCATCAATGTCCCAGATTTAGTTAGATTGATCTAAACGTACTTGACGTCATCACTGTCCCAGATTTAGTTAGATTGATCTAAACGTACTTGACGTCATCACTGTCCCAGATTTAGTTAGATTGATCTAAACGTACTTGACGTCATCAATGTCCCAGATTTAGTTAGATTGATCTAAACGTACTTGACGTCATCAATGTCCCAGATTTAGTTAGATTGATCTAAACGTACTTGACGTCATCAATGTCCCAGATTTAGTTAGATTGATCTAAACGTACTTGACGTCATCAATGTCCCAGATTTAGTTAGATTGATCTAAACGTACTTGACGTCATCAATGTCCCAGATTTAGTTAGATTGATCTAAACGTACTTGACGTCATCAATGTCCCAGATTTAGTTAGATTGATCTAAACGTACTTGACGTCATCAATGTCCCAGATTTAGTTAGATTGATCTAAACGTACTTGACGTCATCAATGTCCCAGATTTAGTTAGATTGATCTAAACGTACTTGACGTCATCAATGTCCCAGATTTAGTTAGATTGATCTAAACGTACTTGACGTCATCACTGTCCCAGATTTAGTTAGATTGATCTAAACGTACTTGACGTCATCAATGTCCCAGATTTAGTTAGATTGATCTAAACGTACTTGACGTCATCAATGTCCCAGATTTAGTTAGATTGATCTAAACGTACTTGACGTCATCAATGTCCCAGATTTAGTTAGATTGATCTAAACGTACTTGACGTCATCACTGTCCCAGATTTAGTTAGATTGATCTAAACGTACTTGACATCATCAATGTCCCAGATTTAATTGAAAGGATTTTCAACACTGTCTTGAAAACATCAATGTCTCAGATTTAGTTAGTTGAATGGATTGTCAATATTGTCTTAAGGTCATCAATGTCTTAGATTTAATTGAATGAATTGTCAACATTGTGAATTAAGGGATACCATTTTACCACTCTTGACTATGAAGAACTCATTTAAGTGTTTGCCACCAAGATAGCAAGGAAGTTTATGTTTTGCTACTAGAAGCCATCTTGCTTATTTGACTTTTCTGCATCTTGTGCTTTTTACCCAAGGATTACAATCCTGTAGTATCACAGTCAATTATTGTAGTATCACAGTCAATTATTGTAGTATCACAGTCAATTATTGTAGTATCACAGTCAATTATTGTAGTATCACAGAAGGCCAAACTTGAATGAATATTAAATGAATCAGGATGAGCACAAAATGTTTCCAAAGGTTATCATAAATAAGTTTTTTTATTATTTATGAGACTTTTTTTTTTTTTTATTTGATTTCTTTCTTCAGCAACATGTTGTTGTCTTTTTTACAGGGCCCTTAATTTGGATGTTAGCTAAAAGGCTGTAGAAACTTTTTTTTTCTGAATGCAATCCCAGGCAATGCTGGATAGATTGGCTAGTTTATTATAATAAATATAAAACACCAGCAACACCATTCAAAGTAAAAAAAAATGCAGTTTATTTTCAACATCAGGTGCAATTTAAGTAATGAGACTATTTGTTAACTATTCACATAAAATGACCAACAACTGAAAGCAATTCTAATAGCAGTGTAGTGGATTTATTTATAGAACAACCGAGAGTTATAACGAATGTTATTTTATTTGATTACTGAACACTTGAAATTTTTCATTGTAGCAGTGTGCCGTTAGATTTTTTTGACATACTGACTGGATAAAATAACATTCGGAGACGTATAAATTATAAGACAAGTGAATGAAACAACAAAGTAATAATCAGATATGTTAAGTTTTAGCTGCTCACTTTGACAAGTTTAATCAAAAGTTTCATAATCATTCCATTTGGATTAAATATAAAATAAGGAAGGATTCAATTGAACCGAGTGATAAAATGAAATAAAAAATGTTTGCAGCTCAAATAACGTTTAATAGTTACTTGAAAGTAGTTGTTTTTATTTTCATCCATAACATAAAAATTCATGAATGTGTTTTTTTGGATAATATCATCAAACTTTAAGAGTTATAAATGGTTGAACATCAGACTATTTATATTTATTTACATTTTAACTAACATCCTACACTTAAATTTCCACTTCTATTCAAATATTTTTGGAGTGAGTGGGTTTGTAAATGGCAAATAAAAATCTCAGGAATGAGCAGATTTTGTTAAAATTAACATGCTTTACTATTGCTGAATTGTAGCTTAAATAGTTTTACCAATCGATGGTTGAAAAAGTAAAGTTTCATATTTTAGAACATCAAAAGTTTGACATTTTTAAAATTAAATAACCCTCACAATAAACTATGGGAAATGAAAAATATCATGATTTTTATCAAAACAAAAGAAATATAATACATTCAATGCAATGGGCGTCATTATTTTGGTGGTGTGATTCAATACCGACTACACAACAAAGTGTCAGTAAACACAAAATTGTTTGAAGCTAGTTTCAGAGCGTTAAAAATTATGTCTTGGACATCAGTCATCAACAGCTGGTTGCCAAAATGCCTGCAAAAATGAAGTTAATAAAAGTTAAACAAACAAAGGGAAACATTTAATTCAGTGTGTGACCAATATTCTCTTCATACCAGTATTTCATAATACAGTAGGGTGGGTGACCAATTTTCCCTTTAACTATAAGGGGCCAACAACATAGTACATAGTGGTATGCAAAAAAAAATATAATTTCAACCTCTCTCCCCCCCCTGCATACAAACTATTTTTAATACCCCCCCCCTCCCTCCAGTGACCAATTTTCCCTTTAACTATAAGGGGCCAACAACATAGTACATAGTGGTATGCAAAAAAAAATATAATTTCAACCTCTCTCCCCCCACTGCATACATACTATTTTTAATACCCCCCACCTCCCTGCTCATGCACACTCCACCCACCCCCAATAAGTGTATAGACAAATATGGTGTCACAGTAAAAGATCTGTCACCGGTTTTCTCCGCTGTCTCCATGGCATAACCCAGTGGTTCGAAAAATATGGGCCTTGTCACCCCGGGGAGCCAACGCCTCCTCACAGGGGTGCCATGAAACACCATTATCTTTATTTTATTTTTCATTTTTTATCCAATGTAACAGAACGCGACATCTAACCAAGAACTTCTTCTGCTATTCGCTTTTATCGAGGGAATCAGGGCAGCAGCAGGGAGGTACGGTTGATTTGCCGCAAGTTGTGAAGCCTGCTGGTGGTTCATGCTGTAGATTTTTGGGTGTATCTTTTACAAAGTTATTCAGTGCGGTCCTCCTCTGGCTGTGAAACCTGAATAAAGACTATTGTAGTAGCTTGCAATGAAGGTTGGTTGACAGGCATTCTGACCAGCTGGCCAAACTAATTCATTTGCTACATGGACATATACTGCAATGGCACCAAATATTTTTTCTCCTGTTTCGGATTGTGGTCCCATCTCATTTTTTCAGCTGCTCACCTTGAGAGTGAAAAATATTCACCCGTGAGATACGATGCTGACTTCTAGACTTTTAATCAGAGCCGAGGACTTCCACTGGTAAGGGTTGGAATGAAGATAATGTTAATTAGCCTGGCTTTTGTCTCCATCTTTATTCTTGGGATGCTCAGTAGCTGGGCGGCTATTTGGTAGCTGACTACACTAGCCCTCTCCTCATTTGTCTCCATCAGTCTATATTTATTTCCACAACAGCAGGGTACCACCTGATCAGGTTGCCATCAGAGCAGCGTGGCACCAGAGGAGAGTGCCACCAGAGAAAGCAGACTCGAAGGAGGTCTAAGGGAGAAGTCTGGAGAGGGTGACACCAACCCTAATGTCACCACTGCCCGTGTATACGTTTCCCAGTGTTAGTGTCGACTCCAATTTTGTTTTTCTTATTGTTTTAAACATCCCAAATCAGCGACCTTTTTCGTAAGTTGGGTTTGCTCATTGGCAAGCTGAAGATTGTTTAGATAGGCAAAGGAAGAAACTGTTGCTGCATAATATTTAGGTTACAATAATAGTACTCTTTAAAAGCAATGCCATACAGAATATTCGTATAATTTATGTATGAGGGGTGGGGATGGCGGGGTGTGTTTGTTGTGATCCCCCCCCCCTTCCTCTTTTCCCCACCAGAGCAGCATTAAGTCAAGGGACATCACTGCAAAATGAAACGCTTGGAACCACTTTTTTCCTTTACCACGTAGTTACAACCAAATGAGTGAGAGAGAATTAGCAAATGCTTTTTGTCTGTGACGGCGCAAGCTATAGTGATGGGGAACATAAATGAACTGCTCAATTTACTTAATGTGTATGTAAAAAACAGCAATCTATATGGCCTTTTCAAATTAATACTTTAAAATTTGTAAATATTTGTTCATTTCTACGTATTTGGCCTTATGGGAAATCTGGCGCTGTATATATTCTGATAGTAAATTGGAAAAGTAATCATGTAACATGACTTTGGGAATTCTGTGAGCTATGTAAAATGATATGGACCTTGACATTTAAAATTTGAGTAGAAAATGTGCTAGTGCTTTTCTGCCTGCCACTCAAACCCACGCCGACTGTTAGGTCCTATTTGTCAGCAGTTTTTCAGACACATAAAACAATATGCTTTCAGTAAGAAAAATCAAGTTATTTGGGTGAATATAAATGATTAATAAAAGTATATTCATATAATACCGGTTATTTAGTCTCAAACTTGTGCTGCTAGAATTAAGAATAGTCCTTTACTTTAACAGATAGCTCTACTATCATAATTATCTCTACCATGAGTACCGGGATTGTTTGAACAAAAAAACATACACAAATTTTAGCTTGATACAAAAAATTTCAAAAATATAAACACAAGAAATTTTTAACTTTTCAATAGAAAGAAACAAAATAGTTTTACAGAGTTCCTTCCTTTAAAAAATGTGAGAATTGAAAAATTTTAGGAATCGCTGGCTTAGCCAATCAAAATAATTATATCACATGCAAAGAAACATGAAAAGAAATTATACAAAAGCAAACAATGATCTAAATATTTCTGTCACTAGTGCGATATCTAGCAAGTTCACTTGCGAAAACCCAAAGCTTCAGTACACCCAAAGCTACAGTACGACAAACACAAAACATTGTGTGATATTGTTCAAGCATTAGAGATAAAAACTACATGCTATTTAGGGATGATCAGAATTTCACGTTTATTATTGCAGAAGGTGTAAATAAATGTATATTCTTTCTACCTAGACAAACCTCTGCCATCTGTACCTGTCCACTAAACCTCCACCCCCTCAGTGTGTATGTACTAAATGGTTGGCCCCTAAGCCAATATTCTCTAACGTAGAAATCCTTAAAAAAGTGTACATTCAATTAAGTTTTACTGATAGAATAAAACACAAACCATATTTTGACATGCAGATGCCATCATCATATATTTGGGGTTGAATTGAATACATTGAATAGGTCCTGGATGATCAGACTGCAAGATGGCCATTTTAACACCAGATTCTGTGCTCCAGCAGTGAACTTTACCATCTGTTGATCCTAGTTACATATACATTTATATAGGATTATATTAAAGATGTATTATGTAAACTAAAAAATTACACTTATTCTCCATGACATAGATATAAAGGTAAAAATTTAAATTACTGTATTTATTGATGTATAACACGCCCGCGTATAGCACACACCTCAATTTAAGAAGGTAATTTCAGGGAAAAAACTAAACATTATATCGGCGTATAACACGCATACATGATTTGCCCCCTATTTTCGGGGAGAAAAAGTGAGTGTTACACGCCAATAAATATGGTATGTCAGTCATTAATAGCTAAATTACAAATGCACATTCAGTTTCTGCTTGATGTGAAATACAAGTCTCATAAATTTTAAATCAATAAAAATTAAAAATGAATATTGCAAAATTCTTTAAGTCAATTACTATTTTTCTGTGCATAATTCTAACACATTCCAATGTCCTGACTTAAAATTTCATTGAAGATACTATGTGCCCAACAACAACCTACCTGAGAAAACATATCTTGCATCTGGAGTGAATGAAGCTTCTAATGGAATGCCTTTGTGATTTGTAAATCCCTGAAGCAAAATTGTTGAAATAAATATTTCATGAAAAACTATTGATACGTGAAATTGTGGCTTGCCAGCCAGGGACTAGGCTGTTAAATTCTATACATTAATACACACAATTTCAAGATTCTACAACAAATAAGTTATTTTCTACTGTTTTTTTTTACTATGGTGTTCTTTTAAGGATTATTTATTTATTCAACAATAATATATGAGTAAAAATTAAAATTATATATACAGGGTAAACCGAATAAGTGATACAGTAGTATAATATATGGTTTAATTATTGTAGTAATTGTTTTGTAATTTTGCAGTTATATGCTCAACAATTTTAATAATAAGATATTTTGTTCAGTATGTTTTCCCTTGTCTTCAACAACTTTTTCCAAATGTTGGCACCATTCGTTTATGCTTCTGTCAATAAAGCATTGCAAAAGTTTTCTACATTGCTTGACTATTGCCACTTTCAACTGATAAACTTGCACATTTTCCCTGAAGTTAAACGTTTTCCTGCAGAGCTCCCCACATGGCATAAACAACTGGGTTTAAATCAGGACTGTTAGGTGGCGACATGACTGGCTAAATGTAGGTGATTATATTATTATCCTTATGCAACAAGTTAATTGTGTTTCTGTCTGTTTGAGAAGTTCTGTCCTGTTGCAACTTCCAGTTAAGGCAACCACATTTAGCTTAAATATTACAAAGCCAACATCATCACAGTGATGGCTGGTTTATTTGGTCCCTGGTTCAACAAATATGACACATGCTTTTCCCATTCGAGACACACTTAACTGAAACCATGATAATGCAACTAACTAACTAACTAACTAACTTAAGAAAATCAGCGAACACCGAGCCTTGAGGCTCATATGGTCCTCCCCAACGCACCACCCCGCCAACCAAACCGGCCGTCAACCACTCCCCACTTGATAATGCAACTAAAATGTTCCCATTTCTGGAACTTGATGTTCAGTTGAATACAGGCAATCCTTTTCAGGATTTCCTGATTTAGAGATAGTAACTGACTTTCTTCTGTGAACCTATTGCACTTTATAATTCTCTCAGTGGGGAATATTTTTCAAGTAGCTGACAAACTTTTAAGTTTTGATTAATGTCTGTCGGCTTATCCATTCCTAGGCTTTAAGCCTAGAGTGTTCAACCATATGGACAACAGCATACATCATATAGTGCTGTTCTCCTAGACTAGTCATCCCCAAACTTTTTATCGCAGCGGACCGGTCAACGTTTGATAATTTTACAGCGGCTTGCTGAGCGGTTGGAGGTGTTGATTGTTTATATTTTGGATTGTTTTGATTTATAATTTTTATTTAATTGCAGTTAAACATGCCTTCAAAATAAAATACAGTTACATCAAAAATGAATATCAACTGATGGATCATTTTAACTCACTATAACGCTAAATTAATGAGAACCATGAGCTTGTTTTTCTGCAACGAGACGGTTCCATCTTGGGGTAATAGGAGACAATGACACCTGAAGTGTGTTGCTTATCTCCAGTTTATTCCGTTGTTTTGTTTTGGTTGCTGTCACTGCAGAAAACCCCGCTTCACACAGATAGGATGTCGGAAATGGCAATGGGATTTAAGTGCTGTGGTGGCAATCTCAGGGTATTCCGCCATTGATATTTTCATTCACTATTAAGATACCATATAAAGATGAATTTGGTGCCAGCTGTGACTGCCCTCTTTGCCCTTTTCTCATGGCTCTGCCTGAGAGCAACATGGCACCCAGAGTGACGCATAATATGAGGACCACTGGGCTGGCCAAATTGTCGGCTGCACAAACACGCGACTCATTATTTAAAAAAATATTTATCCTGTGACATCACAATTACACATTAAATCGTTTGATGTCTTTGGTGGTTTTTTTAGGGATGAAGGCTAACAGTTACTTGTACCTACGAGTTTGGGGGGAGTGTCCCCCCCAAAAAAAAATCAAGCACAACAACACCACCCCCACCCCAGCCGCCTGTATGATTCTGGTTGCTGTGAGCCTGTGTCCATACGTCCGTACTTATCATCCAGAAAATCTGGCAAGCTTATAAAATGGAAATAATTTAATGTTTCTTGGGCGGCCCTGAACCATTTGATCCACGCGGTACCGGTCCGCGGCCCGATGTTTGGGGATAACATGGAGCCTCTCAAACTGCCCATTCAGCAAACGCACCTACTGCTGAAGTTTGCTACATGGCAAAGTCCTTTAAGAAGTTCGCAACAGGTTCTTCCACTGTATAAGTTATAGAAATAAAAAGTTCTTCTCTCATCTTTATTCAAATTAATGTAAAATCTTATTCACTTTTCTGATACGACTAATCTAAATTAATAATAATACATGATTACCATAAAAGCCTGAAGAGGAGTACCCTGAAAAGCATCAATGAGTCGAATCACATTGCCGTTTGTAGAGATTAAAACCATTTTCCCATCAGGACTGAACTTGAGACCTGTCCAGTCACACTCTTTGTCTTGAGGGAGCTTGAACGTTGTGAAGGGACCCTGTCAAATCACACATCACCGTCTTTAATTACAAACTGAGAGCGTACAACTTTGTTTTTAAATTATCCTCAGCATTTACAAATATTTTAGGCAATGGTTCTCAAGAATTAAAAAACAGTACATACTTTGTCAAATGATCTGAGATCATAGAGCTTCACACTTTCTGAATTTACACCAGCAGCAAAAATTAGACCTTCGGGATCAAAAGCTGCAACAGGCCTCCCAGACAGATGCATCAGTCCCTGTTTGATGTAGTATTTCAAAGGAATATTAAATAGTATTGACAGCTTAATTAGAAAAATTAGTGCATAAAGGTTAAAATAAAAATATAATTAGCTTTAAATTCAATTATCAGATGCTACTGACTAGTTCCCTGGGGCTGGGTCGAGAAATACCAAGGCTGCCACCATCTTCTGGAAAATGGGTCCCTAACCTGCCTTTTTTGTTATGACATTGAAGGGTTTCAAATATCTTGTTTTTGATCTTATTTATTATTATTATTATTAAAGAGGTCTGGTATAGCGCTGAACTCCAGTCTAGAGCTAGGCTCACCACGCTTCACATAAAAATAAGCAAAATGAAAAAAAAAGATTCATGACATAAAAAAACATTTACATAAAATTATTCATTTAACAACAGCTTTGTAAAAATATTGACCTATGTAGAATGTTTTAGTTTAACAACAGCTTTGTAAAAAAATTTGACCTAAGTAGAATTTTTTAGTTAAGTCAGGGCTAATTTTTTATTAGATAAAAACCTTTGGGCTATGTTTTCATGAGGAAAAGATTTGAAATTTACATTGCAAATTGTTTCTAAAGCATTTAATTTATTAATTTCAAATAGTAATATGACACATGTATATCAGCAGGTTTTCAATTTTCTATTCTAAAAATACAGAAACAGGCGAGTTTTTCTTGATATAAAATAGCTGCTTATTTCTTTGAGATATATCACCGAACTTGTTATTAAAAAATCATAAAATGGTTATAGCTTTCATTGGGTAACAAATGTATTTTAAGATTTAAATTATAAGCCAATTTTTAATTGACAAATTGTATTTTGTACCATAGTAATACTATTATAACCTGAAATAAGCAATTACGTATGATGGCTCATTGGGTAAACATTTAATATAAATCCTATAAGGATAGATCAAACATGATTGTTACTTCAGGTAAAAATGAAAAACTCTAGACATGTAATTATATTGAATTTAGACAGTTAATTGGACATTTTTGTTTTCCAGATACTAATTTTACAAGCTTTTAATGTCAACATTCTTAAAAAAATTTGAATATTTCAGCTGTGGAAGACATAAATACTTGCAATTCAGAGACACATTAAAAGATGATACAAGAGTAGCAAGTTTGAACAGTAAATACTTGGAGGAGATTTTTGTTAAAAAGATGTATATACTATGAAGATAACAGTTTGAACATTTACATTTTCATGCAATCATTTTATAATTCTTAAATTGTACCTGACAGTTCTGTGACCTTAAATCCCAGAGTCGGATTGTCTTATCCATTGATCCAGAAATAAATGCATCATCTATAGGGGACATACACAAGGTGACCACTCTAATGGAGACATAAGCATTAGCAAATTAAGCAAGTATAATAAGTAGCAAATTGAATTTGTAAAAATTCCCAGCTATACAACTCAGAATGGGATATTTATTTTTTACTATCCAAAATTTAGTTAAATGGATCTTGAGCCAAGGCAAATACATTGATATAATCATTTCGTAGCAGGTTTGTTAGTATGACGTTTTGTCACATTAAATTCTAAATATCTAAATAAATGTATAAACATTTTGCAATATTTCATTCATATAACCCCCCCCCCCCCCCAGGACTGCAGTGCACTATTTGGGAACCACTAAATTATGTTTAAAAAAAAAAAATTGTGTATATCCTTTGATCCAGCAATAAGAATCAGTATTAGGTTGGATTGACTGGATTCATTTATTTCCTTGACCCTATATTTCCTTTAAAGATTTGTAATCTGATCTAAATTATCTGCCACTTACTTTTTTGTATGCCCTGGAAAATATCGTATGTATTTATTATCATGAAGGGATAAATAACGTATTGTATCTGAAAGAAAAAAGTAAAGAAATAAAGTTTTCAATGCTTTGAAGATCTAGAAGATAATTCATTTTTCCTGTTTGACAGGGACAGATGTATGCTCTGTCAAAGCTGTGCTTGTGTGAGCATAAGGCATTGCAAAAGCAGAAAACATTAATAATGCCAAAAAATACTTACAACTTGTATTACTTATTTTAGAGTCACATTGTAACTATATTGTTTTAATGTGAAAAACAAACTATATTTTGACATGACATTGCAAATATGACAGTAATTAAAATAATTTTTTCGACCGCAAAAAATTGCAAAACTGATATTATTTTTTTTACGTTGACATTGTATAAAATTAGAAGTAGAAAGAACACTGCATTTAAAATTATACTTGGATTAAGTATGTATGATTTGTTAAAATGAAGAACTAAGAGCAGGCGTAAATACTTGAGGTTTGAGAACAGAAGGTTTCAGTATGCATGCAGCTTATGAGTTTGATAGAGATCTACTTAGAATGGTATGAAAACAAAACATATACATACCATCCACTTTAGTGGAACAATGAAGTGCTGTATTTTGTGCATGTGTATAGCGAATTAAATCTACCCCATATTTTTTGCTGTTCAGTGTTCTCTTCGGTCTGTCAAAAGAAATGAAAAATCAATTTTAGTAAAAATGAAAAATCCTTACGATGCATTGTTAACAATATTGCAGAATCATCAGTTCAAGTTTTAGCTTAGAAAGAAGGAAAAATGATTGACAAGCCAAAAAAATGAAACCAAGAAAGTTTTTTAGTAAAAGCTTATTTTTACACTGTAATCTGTTTATTTAAATGAAGTCTATTAATTCATCCTTACATGGAAGTAACAATTTAAAATAAAATTTGATTAAAATGTAGAATTTGTAAAATTATTGCAGCGATCTAGCTATAAAAACTTTATTTTTGGTGTGCTTAAAAGGCAACGAGTAATCTCTCATTTATACCTAGCCTGCATCAGATTATTAAAAACAAAATTATAAAAGGCCTGTCTAAAAATACATAGACTGCATCAGATCATTAAAAAAAAATTATAAAAGGCCTGTCTGAAAATACCTAGACTGCATCAGATAATTAAAAACAAAGTTATAAAAGCCCTGTTTCAAAAACCCCTCCACAACACGACTGACTATCCAACAAACGCATCTAAAAAAACACATCATTGTAAGACTCTGTAATAAAATAACAACTATTTAAAAATTCTAACTTCCAATTAGTGAACAGAAGTTTATGAGTGAGTATGCATCCTAAAAAGGAAACATATACCACTGTCCAGCTCAACCTCTGGCTAGGTCAAACATGGGTATGGCAATGGCACATTTAAAAATTATAAATATATATATATATATATATATATATATATATATAATATATATATATTTTATATGGTAAACTTTTTAAATTTTGAATATATATATATATATATATATATATATATATATATATATATATATATATATATATATATATATATATATATATATATATATATATATATATATTTTATATGGTAAACTTTTTAAATTTTGAACTTAACTCTAGGATCCTTTGAATAAACTGTACATTCTACATTAAGTCATTGCATATTGTACAAGCAATATAAATTCATCTAAAAATAAATGGCCACATTAATTCATGTAAGCAGTCAAAGTCTGAAAACAGAAGAATCCATATGTCCTCACCCTCATGTGGTTTTAGACATACCAATTGAACAGCAAGACAACTGCCAATAGATTAGATTATATCATATCAAGCTACATATAAGTATCATCATCATCTAGATAGGATTTTCTGATATCCAATAATCAGGAAAGGTTTTTCTGAATCCAAAGATGGTTTTCCCAGTTGTCTTTCTTTTTTTTTAAATGCCAATATATAAGCAAAATTGCAGATTAGGTACATTACCTAAAATAAATTGGTGCAACCCTAATCTTTACTAAAAAAAGTCTTTGTTGTCATAATTTAGCTTGTGTAATAGGATATACTTTTAACAAAAACTATTTTATTATAATATAGGCATAGATCATGCAGAAATTTTGTGGTTCACAAAACGGTAACCCAATTCAGAAACAGGAATAGTTTATTTTGGAAGTAGTTAGAGGAACAGGATGCGCCCTAAGCATAATTTGAAAATGAACAGACATTGATGCTCCCTTACTGACCTAAGCATAATTCATGATGAACAGGAATCAAATTTAGTTAATTTTGTTGGGATACGTTTAAGAGTCCAGAAGAATGTTTTTCTTCCGAGGCTCACTCATAAATCGTAGTCTAATGTTCCTTACAAACTTTGCAAAGTGAAGGTAGAAAAGTAGTACACTACCAACAAAACGAGGAAAAAATAGCAATTTTATTGTATGCCTCAGAAATGGATCAAGATCGCCATCTTTCCTTTCGCATAGTCTCAGTTGTGGGTGTTACTGCGCACAGCAATACAACGGTGACCTAAAAGCATCAATATCATTTTACCCAGCACTTTCAGGCACAGAAAAAAAAACACTGTTATAGTTTCATTTAAATCCCGAGATTCATTTAAAAGATCCTCAAATGTTGGATATTAATGGAAAGTACTTTTCTATAAATTACTTTAATATAAATTTGGAATATAATTTTTTTTTTTTTAATTTTTTGACAACAGCACAGACAAAAATATATATAAAAAGAAATAATTCACAAATGTCAAATTACTATAAGTCTTTTAAAAATGTGTGTACCAATTGATAAAATGTTTTTTTACACAGAAATTATATTAAATAAACAATAAATCTACAAATTTTCTTCAAGTTTGATTTTTTTAAAAATTACACATATTTTAGAAAAACATTTAGCAGCAGAAAAATGCAAAGTAAATTTTCAATATCAAATCAAATCATATTCTCATTTTTCCTGAGCCTAATATATATGCTAGACCTAAAGTGTTGTATATCATTTGAAAGGGAAATGAATGTAGCCTTTATAAATGTTTTTAGAATTGTAATCAGATATTTTTTTTTTAAATTATTATTGAATCATTTATTTTAAAAAGTATATATTGCAAGTAAAAATTACTGAAAATCTGCACAAAACACCACCAGTTTATAATTAATCACTTTTCCAAAATCGCCACAAGTATTAATGAACAATGAAATGTGGAAAGTTTTGAAATATATGTAGAATAGAAGCAGGTTTGAGAAGTGTTGATTCTTCACCAATGTGCAAATAACATACAAGGGAATCATAGAAAAGAGCTGGCAGCTTCTCGAAAACACCAAGATTATCTCCTATAGAAGAAAAGTTATGAATTTTTTAGTGATTTTTCTTGTTTATTTATTAGGCCTAAGTCTAAGCTGTTTAATTAATTTTAGTAAGTTTTTTAAAAATTATTTAACAAGAAATCATTTTTATAACAAAATATGCTATGTCATTGAATTTACAATGCTTAGTAATATTCAAGATTACCCCAGAGTTTAGTACATGTACAGGCAGGTAGCAATTAGTGTTGCTATATTTTGAGGGGCTGCATATTTGGCAAACTTCAATTTTTTATGTGTGGAAACTGCAAAAATCTTGGCCCACCACGGGTGGCAATAACCTTAGTTACACCACTACAGGAAATCTCATATTTTTTAATCATAAATTAAAAGCCATTCAAGGTATCATATTTTAGTGTGATTAATTATTTACTTGTTATCTCCCTTTCCATGTACAATTGTAAATGGGATGTACTAAATCCAAACATATAATTATTTAGTTGGCTTTAATATTGAGGTGAAATTAATTTTATATTAGGGGGTGTTGGAACAACTCTCTGATGAGTGTCACACCTGCTTTTGTCTTGGGGTATTTTGTTATATCGAGTTCACCCACTAAGGGACATAATTAATTAACTCATTTGAGCCTTAAACTATCAAATACTTCATAACACCTCTCAGTAAATGAAATGAACTTATTTATTTACAGGCGTATTAATATATAGCATGATAGTGAAGGATATGCAAAACAACTTTTATAAATTAATCTAGGTTCTATTTTATTATGGACAATGGCCTCCCGAATAGCCTATCTCTCATCATAACAGTGGCTTTGCTTTGTATTACAATCATATGCGATCAGACCTTTCAAACTTAACTTATCAGTCCATTGTTCTGATTATCTGGCTTGATCAGTGGTAGTTTCACTTCGAGGTGGAGGTGGCTCATCCGATTCTTTACAACGTGGCTTCTCAGGGCGCTCACATAAGTAGATGACAGCCATACTTCAATGGGGAGGTAGCTCCTCTGATTCTTTACTTCGTGGCTTCTCAGGGCGTACACAAAAGTAGATGACAGAGCGTTACTTTATGAAGCAGCTCTGATAATCTGGATATGTCTGGCCTCCACAACATATGGTGCACGGGCTGCATGTGGCCCACAAGCACCCACTTTACGGCCCACGAAGTAACGAAATATTCTTTATTCTTATTATTTTCTTAATCGATTTCCCCGTCCTATTTTCGTTTGGCCCGCACAATTCCTGTCCTATTTTCTTTTGGCCCGCACAAGTTTTTCATTAAGTATTACGGCCCACCTTACATTTTGAGTTGTGCAGGCCTGGGTTAGATCATTCAATAATGAGATCACTTCAGTGTGGAAGTGGATTCTCTGGTCCTATCCTTCGTGGCTTCTCAGGGCTCAACGCTTCTCAGTGCGTTCACATAAGGGGACGAACAGCAATGCGATACAATGGGATCACTTCAATGGTGGATGTGAATTCTCCAATTCTTTACTTCGTGGCTTTTCAGGGCTCAGCGCTTCTTTAGAAAAGCCGGGTTTAAGGTACTCTAAATTGACAGTGCTAACTTAAGAGTCGATCTTGAAAAGGAAGCGTCTAACATTTGCAACTGCCTTTATTGTGATTCTATCCTAATTGCTTATTGGAGAATCACTACCATGTGATATCTGAATCCAATGAACTTAATATTCCGACACGTGATATTATTTCAATAATCGCTCACCCGAGGCAAGACGGGGGTGGGGTGGGGCGTTTCTACTGCGTAGTTCAGTTCGCTGGTCAACTTATCCATATGTCACATCGACATCATATTCATATATCAATGCTATTATATATATATTTCTTTACTCCTTAATCTATAGTTAAAAGCGGATCAGATAGAGCATGAAAAATACCAATTGAAAGGGTTAATTTAGGCTTTCTAAGTAGGCCTATTTGGTATTGACATTTGAATTGTCATAAGCCTCCTACTCAGGCCTACTCCTATTACTATTAGTACTTTTATACTAAGAGTAAGTTACTAAAGTCAGTAAGAGTAAGAGTCTAAAAATGTGTTTAGTTTAATAAAAATAAAGTAAGAATGATTATATCCACTTACGTTCCATTTAAGCAATCGTAGATAACTATTGAATCGTCATCACTACTGGTAATTAATGTTTCGCCATTTGCGGAAAAATTCAAACTACTTATACGATCAGTATTTTCTCTAAATATTTTTGCAACACGCAAACTCCTAACAACATCATCAACCAGCTTCATTTTGCTATTTGATGAGGCTCCTAAAATGTTGAGAGTGGTTCCGTATAGAGAACTTGTCTGCAAGCCTACAATTGGGTAGACTCCACACTGCCCTTATCTTGCGAGTCGCCATATGACTATCGATCAAAACTCATTTTTAAACTAATTTTTAATTATTAAACATTATCTTTTTTGTAGTCACCCCCTCTCCTCCCGATTTTTTTTTTCAAATATGGAATAGGTAAAAATGGTCTTTATACGAAATTTTCATTGAGGAACTAACTTCACTACAAGGATAATTAGAATCAAGCTTAAGTTTAAGTTAAGGGGTTTTCACGTCATAACTTTGGGCCCCTAATTGCCTAATTAACTTCGTATCCGGAAATTTGATCGAAAGAAATTTCGTCGACGGTAATTTGATTGAACGGAAATTTGGTCGAATATTTATTTTCTTCAGTTTTTACGTTAAAATTTTGCTTTAAATTTCTTTTTGAACGCACTAGTTTGTTTCACTATATAAATAATCTTAAGATATAGAAGAAGAAGAAATAGTTTAGTGAGTTCAGTCTAGTGCGCATATGTCTGGTTACCGATTTTTACAATACTTTTTATAATCTGGTGAAACCAAACTTAGAAATTAGAAAAAAATGAATTGTATAGAATAAATTAAATAATTATTTAACATTTGTCATAGTACTCACAGTCACACACATTCATTGTGAGACATAACTGAACTGAACAGACCTCAGAACGGAAAAAACGCGAGAAAAGGGGCAGGGGTGTGGAGAAAGATAATGGGAAACAGAAAAATTCTTGGTGGTGTTCTCTATAAAAATATATATTAATGAAAAAATAAATTGCAGTAAAAAATTATTAATAAAAAAATGCATAGCAATAATTTTTAATGAAAATTTTAACTTTTTTTCGGTAAATTATTTCCGGTCCAATTTATTAATGTACCAATCATGCGATAATAGGAAATGTAGAGTGTAGGGCTTTATCAATGTGAATGTTTTGTTGGTATAAAATAAATGTAAGGCTCCTCTGAGTCAGAAGTCTGCCAGTGTCAGTCAGTGACTTGTTTTGTTACAGATACTGTGCACTATTAGGACTAGGATATTATCAATCTCAGGCGAGTCGCATGACTGATGTTTCGTTAAGTTTACTACGTCAACTGCTTGGGCTTAGATAGACTTAATACTTAATTGTCACTTAATCTTAGGTCGGTATTAGACTTAAAATAAGTCAAAGTAAAGAGTTAGTTAAAAATTATCATTATTAGTAATTATCAGTCTCATGATTAGTCCATCAGTTTAAGTCTTCTTACTAAGAGTACTAAGACAAGAGTCGTCAAGAGTAATAGTAATAGGCAGTAATAGGGAACACTCTTCTTAGTCGACCTAGTCTTACTTAGTGGTCCTAGTCATTAGAGTAGGCTTCTAATTAATTAGTATTAATATTAGTAGTAATATTAGGCATTACATTTACTAATTATAATCATCACTCCTTTTTTTTTTTTTTTTTTTTTTTTTTTTTTTTTTTTTTTTTTTTTTTTTTTTTTTTTTTTTTTTTTTTTTTTTTTTTTTTTTTTTTTTTTTTTTTTTTTTTTTTTTTTAGAAATTAGTGTCATTTTCGTTAGTCATTTGTAGAGTTAGTTTAGTTCATTTAGTTATGTAGAGTTTGAGTAGTCAGTAGCCACTTTGCAGACTAGACTGACAAGAGTATTAATTAGTATTAGAGTTAGACCTACATTTTTTCAGATTTCCAATACACCCTATTATTTTAAAATATCTATTAATTATATTATATAGTTAGTCTATAGTATAGTATAGTCCAGTGTTTCTCAAATGGTGGTCCGCTGACCGTCGCCAGTCCATGAGCCTTACGTTGTCGGTCTGCACAACTTGAATATTTATGGTCGAATAAAAAGAAAATGTAAATAATAAATCTGGCACTTAAAAAGTTTGGGAAACGCTGTTATAGTCTATATAAACTAGGGAGGCCAAATCATGAACTGGAAAAAACAGGAAATACCCAAGAAGGGTTTGTGGGGATACCCTCCAGTTAAAGATTGGTCCAGGAGCCTTCGCCGAAAACTGTTTATTGAAATATCCTCATTTTAACTATTTGAGACCTAGAAATCTTTTAAAATTTGCCTTCACTTTTGTAATTTAATTTAAACTCTGAGGCATATCATAAACAAAAACAATAGTTTTGCAGTGAATACTTATTTATTTATACATATTTTACAACATAATACAACACAACAAATTAAATTTCTCTAGTCTACAACATAATACAACACAACAAATTAAATTTCTCTAGTCTAGGATTTAAAATTGAGGATATTTGGCTGTTGTCCCAGCCATTGTTAAAAACTTTTTCTTATGTCTTATCTAATATAAAGTTGTAAAAACTAGAACAGTCCATTCGTGTCTTTCACTATATATATAAGACCTATGGCAGTGACACTGTCGTTTACGCAGCGTCTGCTGGGTGGTGGAGGGGGAACAGTGCTGCCATCACGCGAGCCCACATCAGTTTCATATCACTACTGGCACTGGCTACACAGCTAGCCTAAATATTACTTTAAGTTATATTATAAATTACTGGTAGGAAGTTTTAGTGATTTGAAAATGTGTTTGGCTTTATAAATGGGACTTTTTTTGGGACTCCGGGTACGATCGTGAAAAAATGGGACAATCCCGTTTTTAACGGGACGTTTGGTCACCCTAATATAAACAGTAGTTATCACATTTTTTTAGTACTGACCCGTTGGGGGCGTAAACTTGTCCTTAGCATTTCTCTGGCCCCTCCTCTTATCATCATCGCATGTCGTCCCGTCTGGGGTATAGGCCACAAACAAAGCCTCTCCAGGCATCCCGGTCTTGGGCAAGTCTCTCCAATTGTCCCCAGTTGTGCCCACTGTTTTTGGTGTCTGCCTCCAGGTCCCTTCTCCAAGTTGTTTTGGGTCGACCTCTTTTTCTCTTGCCCTGAGGGTTCCAAGTCAGGGCTTGTCTCGTGATACTTGATGCGGGCTTTCTGAGGGTGTGGCCAATCCATCTCCATCTGCGCTAGCAGATTAACTCTTCCACTGGTTCTTGTGTGCACTGCCAGAGATCCTCGTTGATGATGACGGTGGGCCAGCGGATTTGTAAAATCATTCGGAGACATGAGTTGATAAACGTCTGTAGCTTTTTTGAACCAGCTACTGTTGTTCACCATGTTTCTGCCCCATATAACAAGACAGGTTTCACTGTGGTGTTGAATACCTTGACCTTGGTCTAGAGGGTCAAGTTGCTGCAGCTTCAGACCTTTTTTAGCTGGTTAAATGCCGCTCTTGCCTTACCAACTCTCACTCTTATGTCGGCGTCTGTCCCTCCTTGTATGTCAATGATGCTGCCGAGGTATGTAAAGCTATCCACCTCAAGGTTTGTTCCTTCCAGTGCTATAGGTGTGTTGCTTGATGTATTTATTTTAAGGACTTTGCTTTTTCCTCTGTGGATGTTCAGGCCGATGCAAGCAGAGTACTGTACGACATAATTGGTTTTCTCTTGCATCTGTTGCTGTGTGTGTGATATTAGGGCCAGATCATCCGCAAAATCCAGGTCATCAAGCTGTTTCCATAGTGTCCACTGGATACCATTTCTCTTCTGCTCTGTAGAAATTTTCATTATCCAATCAATGGTCAGCAGGAATAAGAAAGGCGAGAGCAGACACCCCTGTCTGACACCGGTCTGTACCTCAAAAGCCGCAGTTGTTTGTTGGCCGTGGACAATTCTGCACGATAGTCCTTTGTAAGAAGCCTTAATTATGTCTGTTAATTTTTGTGGTACCCCGTAGTGTCTAAGCAGCTTCTACAGAGTCTGTCTAAGCAGCTTCTACAGAGTCTGTCTGTCGACACTATCAAAAGCCTTCTCATAGTCAATGAAGTTGATGTATAGTGGCGAGTTCCACTCCAGAGATTGTTCCACAATAATTCTCAGTGTGGCAATCTGGTCTGTGCAGGATCTGTCTTTTCTGAACCCTGCTTGTTGGCCCCTAAGATTGGTGTCTATTGCCTCCCTCATTCTGTTCAGCAGCATTCTGTTGAATACTTTGCTTGGGATTGACAAGTTAGAGCAAGAACTAAGGTCTCCTTTCTTCGAGAGCTTAACGAGGTGTCCTTCTTTCCATTTAATCAGTATCTGTTCTTCCTCCCATATTTTCTTGAGTAGTGTGTGTAGCATTTCAGTGCTAGTCGTAATATCTGCTGTCAAGGCTTCTGCCGGTATTCTGTCTGGACCTGCCACCTTGCCTTTCTTTAGTTGTTTAATTGCTTTGCATATTTCTTGCTTTGTGGGTGTGCTGCAATCTATTTCTAGATCTTTTCCGCTGTCTCTATGTTGATTGTGTGTTGTGGTGCTGGCCGGTTGAGGAGTTTTCAAAATGTTCTATCCATCTTTTTTTCTGACCCTCTTCATCAGGTATTGATTTCCCTTCTTTAGTTTTAACTGGTCTCACTAGATTGTTGAACTTTCCAGATAACTTTTTGATTGTACTGAATAATTCTCTTGTGTTTCCATGGTACGCAGCCTCCTCTGCTTCACTTGCTAATCCTTCTATGTAGTTCTTTTTATCTGTCCTTATACTACGTTTAACTTCTTTATTTGCTTCTGAGTATTCTGTTGATGCTCTGGCCTTTTCGGTTCTGGTGCGGCTATTGTTTAGATTTGCCTTCTTCTTTCTCCTATATTGGATTTTTTCCATGGTTTCAGCCGAAATCCATTCTTTATGCGTTTGTTGCCTAGGGCCCAACACTTCTTCACAGGTAGTCGTGAATATCTCTTTGATTTCTTTCCAGTTTTTGTCAATTGTTTCTTCATTGCCTAGTTCCTGTAAGATCTGGAACTTATTGGAGATGGTAAGTTTAAACTCCTTTACCTTGGACTCATTTTCAAGAGGTTGATGTTAAAATGTTGTAGCTTGCTTCCCTCACTTGTCCAGTTCTTTTTCAGTTTCAGCCTTAATTTGGCAATCAGTAGATGGTGATCTGAGGCTACACCTGCCCCCCCTTTTTACCCTAACATCTTGGAGCGATCGTCTAAACTTATTGCAGATACAGAAATGGTCAATTTGGTTAGCCGTTGACATATCTGGTGAAATCCATGTCGCCTTGTGGATATTTCTATGCATGAAGAGGCTTCCTCCAATGACCAGTCCATCTGTAGCACATAGATCTGCTAGTCTTTCACCATTTTCATTCATTTCTCCCATACCATGTGTTCCCATGCATTCTTCATAGCCTATATTTTTGCTGCCTATTTTCGCATTTAGGTCGCCCATGAGTATAACCATATTGCTCTTAGGACACCTTTGGACCAGGGTTCGCAGTCTGTTGTAGAAATCCTCTTTGTCCTCTTCTTTATTATCGTTGGTAGGAGCGTATACCTGTAGGATGTCCATATTGATTTTTCGTTTTTTGGTCTCAATCTTGCCGTGATAATACGGGAACAATGCGCTTCCCACCCTATAAGTGCGTTCTGGGCAGTTCTGGAAAGCATGAGTGCCACTCCTTGGTTGTGCGCCGCATTTTCATCTTCGTGGCCTGAGTATAGCAGCAGTTCCCCTGTGTTGAGCTTTATCTGACCTGAGCCTGTCCATCGAGACTCACTTATTCCTAAGATGGCTAGTTTGTATCTCTGCATTTCAGCAGCAACTTGGACAGTTTTTCCAGTTTCGAACATGGTCCTTACGTTCCATGTTCCTAGACTGGTGGTGGTCCTAGTGGAGAGGATGGTTGTCCGCCGGTTGGTTTCCAGTTGGCTTTGGCCACCCACCTTCATTAATTCTCTGTTAGGAGACCCATCCTTTCCAAGGTCCGAGTTTCCTTTTGAAATCTTTGTTCTTGTTTTTGTAGCAGGGCTTGTTTTACAGGGAAGGGTTGCTAGGCCTTCGCCCAACCCTCCTCGTTTCTCACCCGGGCTTGGGACCGGCTACGGCGGAGTTCCCTCCTGTTATAAAAATGTAAATAATAATAATAGTTTGCAGGACTTTCAATAGAAAACAATTACACAATTAAATTCAAAATTTAATTTATGGAGATACACTGAGATCCCTATATAATATGTAAATTAATAAATAAAAATACTAAAAATGAAAGATTTTACTTCTATTTCTATTAATTAGGCCAAATGTAAAGCTGATTAAACGAAACAACTAGTGATATTTAGTAGGTACTATAATGATAGTCGCTGTGCACACCTTATTCTGGAAGTCGCAAAATAACATAATTAGTTGTGACACTCTTTTAGCGTATAATTTTTTGTATTTACCTCCATTAAATTCTTTGCGTCTTAATTTTTTTCTACATTAACAATAGTTGTCAGCTCACAGTGCCAAGTTAAATATAATATATATTTAATGATGTTAATAGCCACTGGTGTTACTATTAAAAAGGTTTGAATGTTGGATCAAAAGATCTTTCTCTCTCTCCTGGTTTTGCATCCCTCTTTTTTCAGTTTTGATTCCAGCTTTAAAAAGTATGTGATTTTTTTTTTTATATATATAATTTTTATTTAAAATATGTTCCTGATGTAACAATAGGCTAAACCTAAAAACATCTACATAGATTGACAATATAGACTACTACTATAGCTGAGTTTTAGTTGCTCTGACTGTTGGCTGAAAGTGTATTTATGCTGTATTAATTTCTATTTATCTGTACTATAGTCAACTAAAGGACTGTAGTGTAGGTATAGACTATAAATATACTACAACTGCAATTGCAATAGGCTGGTGTGTGTGTAATTATTTATGATGTCCTAATACCTTAAGTTCTATATCTATTTAGTAACATTTGCCCAGGGACCATAGTTATTAATCCATATTAATATACAAATAGAATACCGGAGCCTTATACTTTATAATACTAATAATAAGTAGTAACTATTTTACCAGTACTAATAATAAGCAAAAATGAAGACATAATGCGGGCCCACTTTTTTATATCATATCCTGTTGATGTTTATTAACTTGTACTTTTATTTGGGGAGTAACCCAGTGGTGAGAAATTATTTTTTTAAATAATTAGTTATATTTAATATTAGTAATGTTTATAGATGAGATTGTCAGGCTTCAGACTAGACTGGTTCTTGTTAAGTATCTTCTAAATAAAAGCTAAGTTTTTTTCATCTTATTCTCTTGTTTTTTATTATTACTCTTCTTTGTAGAGACAGGTATCCAGCCAAAATATTCATTTATTGTCTTTAGTAGCTATTCAGTTCATGCAAATACATATCCTGTTCTTAATATTACATTCATATGGTTTGAATACATCTCTACAATAATATGTTACTGTTACTAACATAGCTGCTCAGTCAAAGATGTTTGAATTTCATTTCTTGAATTCTTAAGAAGGCCCCTTGACTCAATTTGTTTTGTTTTGTTGTTTTTTGGGGAAGGGAGGGGAGTTGTTATGCACCCTAGCCCCTAATGCAGGGTTTAGCAAACTCTTTTGGGCAAGGGCCAGTTAAAAGATGGCTCTGGGGTCTGGATGGTTGTGCCCAAATCAAGGTCGCCTATATATATGATTAGAGTATTTCACTAATAAACAGAAATGTTTAAAAACATGTAAGACATAATTTATTTATTTTTGTTGAAATGTAACATGCAGAAAGAAATAAGTCATCATCATCATTGGTGCTATAGCCCATGTAGGGCCCTGGCCTGCTCCACCACATCCTTCCATTTGGATCGATCCATGGCTTTCTGCCTCCATGCGCGAACCCCCAACTGTTGTAAATCCTTCTCTACATCATTGATCCATCTCAATCTTGGTCGACCAGTGAGCCTGTATATCACTTTTGCTGCTCTATAATCCGACATCATTTCACTATGTCCTGCCCAGCGCAGCCTGCCTTTTTAATTGTTGTGACTATGGGTGGGTCTTTGTACAATTGGTATAGCTTCTGGTTTGTACCGATTCTCCAGACTTTGTCTATCACTGGGCCGTATATTTTTCTGAGGATTTTCCTCTCCCATGTATTAAGCAGGGTCTCTGCTTTTCTGGTAAGGGACCAAGTCTCACTAGCTTAAGTTACTACAGGTCTTAAGGTAGTGGTGTATATTGTCTTCTTTGTTCCCCTTGAGAGGTTTTTGGTTCCGAGTAGCTTTTGTAGGCTGAAATAATAACGGTTGCCTGCCGTTATCCTTTCTTTCACCTCCAACATTATTTCATTGTGCACGTTAATAGTCGCCCTTAGATATTTTAAAGTAGCCACTCTCTCAAATTTGTGGTTGTTTATATTGATGTTGTCATCAGCACTGGTGTTTTGTGAAATTATCATATATTTTTTCTGCGCTTCATTTACATCAAGACCAGCTTGGACTGAGGCATTTTCAAGTTCCCTGAATTCTTTAATTTTATGTGATTTCTGTTTCTGCCCAGTGGAGCTACATCGTCTGCGTATGCCAGGTACTGCAATTGCTGGCTATATAAAGTTCCTGGTGGTTGTTGTTCTGTAAACCTGTCAAGAAGTAACTTGTTATGGTTCCACTGGTGCTCATGTGTATGCTTTTTCTAGTGTTATGTTAAACAAGATACATGATAGTGAATCTTCTTGTCTGAGGCCCAGATTGACTGGGAACTCCCTAGAGTATTCTCCCTGTACCTTGATTCTACTTTAGAGTTAGTCATCTTTATATGTATGAGGCTAGTAAGTTTGTTAGGGACTCCAAGTTCCTGTAGAGCATTGTATAGATAATTCCTGTCTACGCTATTGTATGCTGTTTTGTAAGCCACATAGTATATGGATGTTGATATTTTATTCATAGTATTTCTCAAGGAGACATCTAATGGTAAAAAATATGATCCGTGGTTGACCTATTTTGCTAGAACCGCATTGGTAGTCCCCTAGGATCTGTTCACTATACATTTCCTTTTTTCGTACTGTAAGTTTTGTGAGGATTTTTTACATTACATTTAGGAAGGAGATTCCTTTATAGTTTGAGCAGACCAACTTAGATCCTTTTTTGTAAATTGGGATTATGAGTGCAGTGTCCCATTTTATTGGCATTTCTTCCTCCTTCCAGATTCTGGATATGAGGTTGTGTATTTGCCTATGCAGTTTTTTTACACCTAGTTTTATCATTTTTGCAGAGATATGGTCTATTCCTGGGGCTTTGTTATTTTTCATTGTAAAGATAACATCTTTTATTTCATTCAGTGTTGGTTTGTTGACCAATGGGTTTTGGTCTTCCTTGTGGTAGAGAGTGATCCTCATTGGTTCCTTCACTTGAGCCATTCAGTAAGCCTTTAAAGTGTTAAAGAAATTAGTCAGATTACATTAATTTGATTGAGACTCTTAAATAGCATAATAATCTTGTTAACATTAGTAAGAAGATGTATGGCTCAGAAAGCTGGAGATCAACCAAGAAAAATTGGAAAAGACGACAAAGTGTCTTGAATAGTTACCTGTGTTAGATCAAGTGGTTCCACAAAATGACAAACATAGCAGTGAGGGAAATGCCAGCACAAATCACACAAAGTAGGTGGAGATGGTCATACCATGAGAAAACCCATGGCAAGTATAACAAGAAAAGCACTGGCTTCGAACCCCCAAGGATAAAGGTGATGGGGAAGACCCAAAAACACCTGTGAGAAAGATGTTGACAAAGATGTAATAAAGACTGGAAAGAGAAAAGATAGCTGGAGACCGGAAGGCTTGGGAAGAGATTAATGGCCTATGCTCCACTGGGAGATGAAAAGCAGAGAAGAAGCATGAAAATGATGCTTTGCCCTTCTTTGCATAACTTTTATAAAGCTATAACTTAGTGCATGCTATTTTTCATTATTTGAGAAAGAGGATAAAGTCTAATAAGACATATTCAGTGAAAAAAAAATACAAGCCTTCAAAAAAAATTTAAAGGAATTTTTACCACCCAAAGTACCGGCACATTGCCAGTCTCTGAACCCATAAGTACACTTACTATACATCATGATTTGACAGGGTTTGTCTCGGTTTAGCAGCCTTATGAAGGCCATATTGATTTTTTCCCCAGTTACGATCTATTTGATAGAAAATTGTCATGTCTGTGTTAAGATAGTCTAGTATCCATATCAGAACTTGGTTTATATCAAATTCCATTTTAAAAATTAAAAAAAATTGTAAAATTTAAGATAAGGGGTCATCCATTTATATGCACAAAGGAGGGAGGATGGTTATTGATTTTGGAGATTTTATTTAGGGGTGGAGTCTCTGCAGGTAGTACATATATTAATGGAAAAATTTTACAATAATTTAACTGAAATGTGAACAATCCATAAATAGCCTATTTATTATATCTCTAATAAAGCCATTTATTATCTAAAAATCTGTGAAATCTATGATTTCTAATTATTTTCAAAAATAATATAAATTAAATATCCCTGCTTGTTTCATAAATATCATCATACTGTTTTCTGTTTTACAAGTGAACTCGCTAGCAACAGCAATAGAAATTCCATAGTTGGCCTTTGATTTTGTGTATGTGATGTGATTAGTTTGCTAGATTTTTCCTGTGGTTCCTAAAATTATTAGATTCTCGACACCTTTGCAGAATTTAGGGTTTTCTTAGGTGCCCTATGTCAAATTCTAACAAGTACAATTGTGAACAGATTTTTAAAAATTGTTTAAATTAAAGGGTTGTGTAAAAATAAAAAAAACATGTTTATGGGTCACTAAGTACCATCTAGTAACCGTTTTTAGGAGCTACTGCAATTGCATAAGTGAGTTAAATTTTCTTTTGTTGATCCCAATTTCAACCCTGCCTAAAATTATTCTAAAGTGACTTATAGCTATAAAAAAAAAGCGACCTGGAACTAGGATGGACTGATTCGCCAAATAAGGCATGAGGTTAAAATATGCTACTCAAAAATACCTGTTGCCTTAACTATTAAGATCCATATGCCTTAAGAAAATTCCGGAATGCTAAAACTATTATGTCCAAATTTTAAAGAAATTACAATTTCATAAATCATGGCTACAAAATTAAACAATTGAATAAACACTAACATTCACATTTAATTTGTTTTTTTTTTTATTGTTTTTTTTTTTTATTAACTACAGCATTCTGATTTGATTTCCCTCAAGACATAGTCATCAAAAAAGTTCTTTTTCATATACTGGTGCCCTAGCTCAAATATTCTATTGTAATTGCCATGAACTTTACCTATTTGTAATCAGAAAAAAGAAGATGAGATCCTACACTTTACTAATTCAGAGTTTCATTAATTTCCAGGACTGGTAAATCCATTTTTGAATGTCTGAAAATATATTTTCAATTTTAAAAATAAATCATTTATCAACAATTAAAGTAACCTGATTTAGGAGTTAGATTGACATAACTGTTGTGGAAAATGTCATTTCATATGCTAATAACTCAAAAAATAATCACAAAATAATAATAAGCATCATATTTAACTATCTTTTTTTTTTTTTAAAGTTAAACACAAGAATAATTATTTACATTACAATTTCATGGGAAGAATTTAGGAATTAACCTATTATTTTGTCTATCATTACAGGTGGGAAAATAACAACCTCATTTGTAAAATGGACGTGCTGATAAATTTTGTTTATCCAGAATTGTCGCTTATGAATCCAGCTACTTTCACCATTGCTACACTGACAACTGTTATGACATTGTACCTGTACTTTATACAGCCAAGCATGATTGTACAAGCATATTTTAGGTATATTAAAAAAGCAAAGAAGTTAACATATACTAAAAAAGAATATAAACAAATGTTTCATATTATTTGTATGGTTGCATTAACAAAATTAAGCGTGCACCGTGGGTGTAGAGGTTTATGAGAACAATTTTTGGGCATACACAGTATATGGGTGCCCTCAGATAAAATTAAAAAAATGGGCTAGGTGAAGATTCTTTGCCCGTAGTCTCTATCTTTAAGTTTAACTTGTCTATAAGGATATCATCACTGTTAAAGATTTCTTTAACATTTTGCTACAGGTAAATATGGTAGTTAGACTCTTGGTAAATCATTTGTTAGACTTAGGACAGCATTCACTTGGCTATTTTTATTGATGATTTAACATTTCTTAAGAAAAACATTTTTTATGTATATGTATATATTTTTTACTTATACAAACTACAGGAAACTAGCGACCTTACTCTACTGGAGTGGTTTTTTCATTATTACAACCTGCTACTTCATACAATTTTTGTTAAGGTATTAGACTAAATTGTATGCAGTTACTTGTATTTGTTTCCAAATTTTTATGTCAAATTACAAATTTTAAACCAAAAAATCTTCTAAACAGAGTAGCTGTGAGATGGAGTGGTATGAGAATGAAGTACACAAAGCCCTTACCTGATAACTTCAAGTTTTTTTATGGTGAAAAGGGGTATAAGAAGAAAGGTCAGATGAGCATTTTGCTTTTGCATGGCTTTTCTGCTGATCATTTCATGTGGGCTCCAATTGTCCAGGTGAGTTCATACTCCATTGTTTTATTTTTAATGCAATTTTCTCTCAGGAATAGAAGAGACTCGTATCTGTTGTCACCTGCTCTTGAAACATGGCTTTAGATAATTTGAGCAGACAATGGGTTTATTTGGACATGGTGTTGAGAAGTTGTGATTTAGGGGCTGTAGATAGTTCAGAATTGCAATGATCCCTCGTGTATTTTGGGTTCACTTTTCATTGTCTCACTGTATCGTAGATTTTTTACTTGTATATACCATATCTAATTTTGTATCACAGATTTTTGCTATATCGTGAGAATTTGGGGTATATAGGTACTTTTATATATTTATAATTTTAATTATTTTTGCAATGAAATAAGCATTTACTAATCTAATTTATCAAAATATTGATAAAACCATATTAAAAGAAAATTAAATTGATATGAAATACTTAAGGAAAGCACTTGAGTAGACAAAGAATCGCATGTATGGAAAATGTAAATACTGCTCTATATTGGTTGATGGATAGGAGGTGACCAACCACAGCACTGTGTTCTGTATCCTAGGCGCTGATTGGCTCAGTGACCGTAGCATCCTTTGTCTTAAGCATTCTAAGGCTTCTAAGCTGTTATAAGAGTGTTGGAAAGATTAATAACAGTGTGGGAAAGGTTTATAAGTTTGTGGGGAGGGTTTATAAAGCCTTAAAACATATGTAAATAATAAATTAAATATATTTCTGGAATTAAATTGACTATCCATTGTGGTAATAGAAAAAGGAGAACTGAAAAGGTTGTTTATTTTCCCCATAGAATTTGCCATCTTATGTGCATGTTGTTGCAATGGATTTGCCTGGGCACGGATTCACTTCTGATCCAATAAAAGGAGAGGATATTGGCTTCAAAGGTCAGATCAGTAGGATCAAACAAGTAAGTTACAGTTAAGGTATAAAATCATGCTTTTAGGTAGCAGCTCATTCTTTATAAATAAACCTTATAATAAACCATTAATTGAAAATGAAGATAGAGAAATGTATGTTTTGTTTGTCTAAATAGCCCAAGTGATGTGAAATTTAGTTTACAAGCAGGACAATATTGCTCAATCTTTATTTGAAGGCATCTAAAATTTTATTAGTATAAAATACCATTTGTACCATTAATAGCAATGTGTACACCAGATGTAATACTGTGCCCACCCGCAACCAAGTTCACAATTAGCATATCCGATGATTAAGGTGGTCATTGTCGATTTACATAGACGAACTAAATATAAATAAATACTCAAGGGTTGCAACAATTAATCAACAGATAACAAAACTATACAGATATGCTAATTTTTAATATCAGCCTTTTTAAAATGATGAATTAGTTTTTGGATATCAGCAAATAACACACAGATAAATGATGTAACTCAAGATTGTTTAATAAAACTGAAATTTGCTCATTATATTCTAGTAAAAATTATTATGAAATATCAACTAATTATCTATAAATGTCGTCTCTATCTGATCTATAAGAATTTCAAGTTAAGTTTCCGATTTTCATAGTATCAATATAATATCAATGTCATAATATTGGCTTTCGCTAATTTAATTAATTTCCACCAAAACCTTCTGATTAAATAATCTCAACCCCAAGTCGATTTCTAATTCCTAAATACTGAAAAGTTTAACTTAATTGTATAAAACTTGAAATTTATTGATAAAAAATTTTATAAAATTATGCTTTCATAATAATATATTAAGAACTAATACATTATGTGACTAATAAATCATAAAAACAAACAGAAGTTCTTTTTACCAAGTGCGCTAAATATAAATAGATTAGCAAAATAAATATAAAATAAAATCATAAATAAATGTTTTTCATCATTATCTTTATTGATTTAGTTTTTTCATAAAGATCGCTTAGTTTGTTCTTAAAGATAATTGATTTTGTTCCAAGATCGATTAGTTTGTTCTTAAAGATCTTTTAGTTTGTTCCTAAAGAAAATTTAGTTTTCTGTTAAAGATCGCTTAGTTTATTCTTATAAATCATTTAGTTTACTATTAAAGATCATTTGTTTTGTTCTTAAAGATCATTTATTTATTTATTAAAAATCATTTAGTTTGTTCTTTAAGATCGTTTAGTTTGATTTTAAAGATCGCTTAGATTGTTCTTAAAGATCGCTTAGTTTGTTCTTAAAGTTCGTTTAGTTTGTTCTTAAAGTTCGTTTAGTTTGTTCTTACATGTCGCTCAGTTTGTTGTTAAATATCGCTTTCGCTGAGTATTAGATAACAGAAAACCTCAGTTACTTTCGGCCGGATGGCCGAATGTCTAAGTCAATTTCGGCCGAAACCGAAAAAAAAAAAAAAGTTAACTTTTCTCTTTTGACCAAAATTAAGCCGAAAGTGATAAAATGGCCACTTTCGGCGCCGAAGCCGAAATTCTGTCTGTCTCTAAAATCAATGTTATTATACTGAAATTTCTAGAATTTAAATAAATTGAACAATTATAATGAAAGAAATATATTGTTTTTTATAAACAAAAAGAAAATCTATACAAGCTACTAGAAACTTGTAAAAAATGATTTTTTTAAAAAAAAAGCTAAACTATGATTAATTATTTTTATTTTTTTCTATCAGTCAGTAATTCCATTTTTTGCATATGTACAAAGAAATAACTTCTGGATTGTTAATTGGAAATGCATATTTCCACCTTTATAACAAATTTCCCCACAACACTAACAGCCAGTGAAGAGAGACTATAAAGTATTAGAATGCTACTAAATGTAGGAAAGAAGTCCTATAAATAAACTGATTTTTATTGTGATAAAAAAACAAACTCATTGACTTCCTCCAACAATGCATGAACCCAATGTACAAGTACCGAAAATATTTCTTATGGTTAGTTTTTCTAAGTGTTTTTGTGACTCAATAAAAGGTCAGATATTTCAGAGAAATTGGTGGTGAACTATAACTTTGTTTACATTTTTTGAATAACTGTTGCAGTTTTTGGAGTTAATTAACCTCACAAATCAACCTCTTCATGTTGTGGGTGTATCGATGGGTGCAACAATAGCTGGCATTTTAGCTGCAGAGTTTCCAGAGAATATCGCAGCTCTTACTTTGACATGCCCAAGCAGTAAGTTTTGATTGTTTATTATAATCAGAATTGGAGGATTATTTCAGCATTCTCAAAATGCAAGGGTACTCAAAATTTTGAACTGAGTGGCAGAATTTGAATTTGGACATTTCCAGGGGGCGGATCCACTGCCATGTTGACTTTATGCCTATACTAATGTGGCATTAACATTCATAGGGCATCTTGATTATTCATCCTAAATTTGACATAAAGTTTAGAATAAAATTTTGTATATTAACATTTTTAAATAAAGTGGCCATCCATAAATTACATCACACTATTTTGGTTAATTTTTTTACTCTGGTGTCACTACCTCTTCCCTGGTCTGTTTTCACCCTGTTTTTTTTATAACTACTATAGGTTGTCAAATCGACTTGATCAAGTTCTGTTTATTTTGTACATGGCAGACTGGTGGATCAGTTTCTTAATACATCACTGGCTGACCATAGCCAGATTCATTAATTATTTTTTATCTCTTTATTTCACTCTAAATATTTCAAACATTTTTTCTTCTTAACTGCAATGAGCCAATGTGAGATGAACCTATTAACTATTATCATTTAGGCCTAATACTTGCCAATTTACGTTGTTTTTTTTATTATGGCTGTTTAACTTTATTTACTCTAAGCCTCTTTCATGTCTCATTTTGTGCGGACCTTTGTCAGTTCATGAACACCACTTTGGGAAACCCATAACTAAGACATAGGGGGTAGGGAAGTTCCTAGTTCTTCAATAGGGAAGACACTTTGCTGCTTTAAAAATAAGGAATATTTTTTTTTTACTATTTTGGAATTTATCTATGGCCAGTCAATGGTCCCTACGCCCCTGAACCAGACATTGAGTACCCCTGCCATTTGGTATGCCTTTTATTTCTAGGCATATGAGACAAACTTGAAGAAAAGTTAGGTAACCATATTAATTTTTTTAATAAAGCCCATATTTTACCAATCTTCTTAAGACATTTGCATGTAATTATATGTTTCCCCCTCCCCCCCCCCTCCTTTTTTTTTAAATGTTACAAATATTTGGTACAGTTTTTTTTATTCTTTAAGATGCGCAGCAGCTTGCAAATTAAAGATGAAAAGTAGCCTAAGCAAGTGAAAATGAAATTCTATTTTTTGACATGTAATTGGATTTATAATTCCTAATTAAAACTGAATTACTACTTTTGGTTTAAGAATTTTACTTAGATACATCATTTAGTTGGGTTTTTCCATATAAGATTTAAGAATTTTAAATAATTCTTGTTAGATTTACATAAAATTTGCTTTTAAAGGAAATACTTATTTCTCATAATAAAATCTTATCTGTTCAGTGAAAACACCCTTGGAAAGCCGCATGATCAAAGAAAATAAAAAAGACGTTTTGGAGAAAGATGGAGGTTTGCTAACACTAGAGAACTGTCCCATGTTGCCCCAAACAGCCAAGGAGCTTCAAACTATGTTAGATATTAGTCATTATTATACAGTAAAATACCCAAAGCAGGTCAGTAGCATTAAACAATAGGGAGCACATTGCTATAGTGAATAAATATAGCAAATCTTATGAAATACTTTTAATTATTTTGTTAACATTGGACCAGAGCTGCTTTAACTAGTGGTTTTCAACCTTTTCTACCAGTTATAATAAAATTTTAAAATTTTAAAAACACTATATATATATACATATATATATATATATGTTTTTTTTTATCAAACACTGATTTTATAACATGAACCTGAAAACAAAGCAGAAAAAATGTTTAACTCCTAATTTACATAAAAGGAATTTCAAAGGATCCTGCTTGGATAATTATTGTCCACATATTAAAGAAAAATAAAGGAAGGGCTATGAAAATTGAATCATATGCACTTCAGACCTACTAAACTCAGATTGTACTTTCTCATGTAATTTGTTGCAAAATTTGATTTCATAAAAAAATAATATATAATACCTGTGTGGGGATTGGCAAATTAAAATTTAACAATTTCTTTTATAAGTTATTTTGATTTTTATAAAAACAAGCTAAGTGGAAAACCGTTTGAAAACTGTCAATTATTAAAATTATTTTTTTTAACAAATCTTTTCCTGGATAATCAAATACTTTCAATTATTTTTCTCCAGATTCTGAAAGGGGCTGTAGAACTCAGAAAAAAGAAAAACAATTTATATTTACAGTGTAAGTTTTAATGCTGAAAATAACATGTCATTGCTACTTTATTCTATTTCTTAAAGTTGTGATATTTTACTTAAGGGCATCCAATTAACATGGGTTGTTGAGTTGTTATTTAACTCATTCCTGAATGTTTAGACTTAATACCTTTTAGAGGCTACCCCACAAATATGATCAATGTATCTGGATAGAACATTTTTGTTTTATATTTTTGTTGAAATAAAATCACACATTCACAAGACTTCCTGTGATAAGTATGTAGCAATAACAGCATGATTTCAATAAAAAGAAATTGAAGTTTTTATCTTCCTTTCTTTTTTTTTTCCACTTGTAAGAGAGGTTCACCTAATTAGTTATATCTATCTCATGTTGGTAATCTGTCACATGTTGGTAAAAATTTAATATTATGTGGTTGCTATTTATTTCCTCATCCATTTCTGGACGCAAGTATCTTTACTTTTTTTATAAGTGAATAAAGTAATAAGGAACCAAATGAACAATTATTGAAAATCCAAGTTAATTACCTTAGTTTTGTCATACAAATGGTGGAAATAATTTGAAATAATTAGTTTTTTAAAGTTTAGACCTGTTTTTAAAAGGCAGTCTTCTAATTAAGCCTAAAAATAGAGTACAGCAAATTATATGCATTTTCTGACCATGATACTCACACCAATGAAGTGAAATTAATATTCTCACCAATGAAGTGGAATTAAATTTATATAAATTTTTTTTAAAATGTACACTGCATTTGCAAAGATACTGTACAGAAGGTTAATGTGAGAAATTTTGAAAAAAAATGTATGGTTATAAAATTCCTTGTAATGACCGATTTTTTTTTTAAACTTAATTTTTTCAAATTATTATTATTACAGTGGTCAATCTTCTTATATCTGAAGACTCATCTATTATGCTGGAAAAACATTTGCACAGAATAACATGCCCAGTCCAAGTTATATGGGGGCAGGAAGACTGGGTAAGCTATAATATAAAATAAGATGTTGGCTTTGGAAACATTAATCTACAGTTATTAATTTTGAAATATCATGTCACACACTCAGAAACAAAACTTCCATGTCTCACTATCAGGGTTGGAAATTTTGTAATATTCGCTTCCTAAGGAAAGCTAATATCCACAAGCGGGGGGGGGGGGGGAGGGGGGGGGGGAGGCCCAGTCTATTCATCCCCAGTAAAAAGGCCTAAATAATGCAAACTATGTACAATAGTGTCAAAATATGCACCGAATTTGACTTAAAAAGTCTGAGAGTTCAAAAAAAAACATTTTATTTCATGTAATTATATCCCCATACATAATATGTAAAATAGATTTGTTATTGATTAATCCGGAATTCCAGTGGTTAAAATTTTAGTGTGGCCCATATCGAATAGGCTAATTCCCTTAACTAATGAAAAGAAAATTGTTCTTTATTAGTCTTAATTTGATGGTTATCAAGAGTGTTGTGGAAGTCTTCTAGGAATTATATATGGAGGGAGACTATAATAAGTGATAGTTACATAATATTTTTCAGGGTCTGGTTTGAATAACTAAATAAAATAAATTTTCAGCCCTAGAAATGTTCCAAATATTCAATATTTTCATTTTCTTCCCCATGTCTTTTTGCTGGGCTTTCAACTTAGTTGAAGTTTTAAGTAACTGTATTAAATTAACCTTAACTAACCTGAAAAAAAGATAGGAAATTGTTTTAGTTAAAGGGGAGGGAGAGTTAGGGAAACATCTGTTTCATTTGTAGCACGCTAGTGGGCAAAGATTGCTGTAGGAGAAAGTGAAGCAAAATTTAATTTGCTATCAATTATCCCTTGTATTATGAGTATTGAAAGCTTTTTTTAAATTGATATATGAATTTCTATTAAAAATTTAAAAACATTTCAGGTTGTAGATGTGTCAGGACTGGAAATTCTTTCTGCAATGCTTCCCAATTGTCAACGTATAGACATCCTGCCTGAATGTGGTCATGCTGTTAATCTCGATCAGCCTGTTTTGTTTGCAGAGAAGGTTCTTGAGTTTTGGTGGCAACAAAATGCACAGAATAAACCATTAATGTATACATGACATGTTTATCATACTTAGATAAACAAAAAAAATAAATGTAAAAAAACTTTTTTGGGTCCAAGCTTTAATTTGAGCCTGGGCATTAGAATGAGCTTAATTTAACAAATCTAAAATTACATTCTTTGTTTTGAATATGCTGAATTTTCTTCTTATGATGTTTTGAATTTCAAAAAAATTTCTAACCATCCCATTTTAATGGAAATGTTGGTTAAAAATCTGCAAATTTAAACTTCTTTGCATCAATACAGACAAAATTGTTCAGTTAAGATTTAAAGTTGTAAAATTAAGTCCTACATGTCATGAAAGTATTTAAAACTTGAAAATTTATATCATTATTTTATTAGAATGTGACATGTGGTCACTTCAGATATGGATGACTAGTCCAGAAATTTAATTGATTATATATTATCTTTCAACTAATTCGAGCTCAATTCATATTTCAATAATGTCTGGCATAAAGTAATAACATTGATTGTAAGCAGGGTTTCCCAAACTTGTTTTCTACGTCCCAGTTATATTTATATCTTTGCTTTGGGCCCACTAAAATGATCAATCAATCAATGTCAATACAGTTGTCATATATTAACATGTATTGTAATTGTAATAAAGAAACATTTACTCCAACTAAAACCTGGTAAATAATTAAGTAATGGGGAAAAGATAATACATTTATTCTTAGATCTTGTTCTACTTCCCATAGCTTATAGATTTATATTTGGGGATGGGGTGGGACCTTTGTTGAAAAGCCAGCTTCACACAGATTGTGACAAAAGGCATTCATGGCTACATTGGCCCAAAAATACATCAGATGAATTCTGTCCAAGATGTCTGTTAGTGCTGCATCAAATACCAATATTTTTTTAATGCAGTGGAAATTTTTTTTAAAGTTTAAATTGTCAAACTCTTGGATAATTGCAGTTAAAAGTTATTTCATGCATCCATACATTTCTGGTCATGCTAGAGCCTTGATCCTTGCAAAAATGCCTGCACGTGTGCCTGCAATAGCTCAAGCTCAATCCTTTTTGAGTAACCTTTCTTCATTTCCCCATTTTTTCTGGCATCCTGCTATTTCGCTTTCATGATCAAGTACCTGGACTTAACCCAACATTTGGGAAATACTGATCTAAATGTTCTTTTTTCATCCAATTTGATGTCTCTTGAAAATCCAAGTATAAATGTCTTTTTTACTGTGAACTGCGTTATCTGCATGAATCGTATTTAGGTTATCTTTAAAATGTTTATTTTTGTCTACCTTAATACAGGTTACTAAAGTGTAATAAAACTCAATATTTTGATCACAATAAGCCCAGTCACTATTATGCAGCTGGACAAGAAACTGTTTTTGTTTATTTATTTTTAAAGAAAGACTTGTCACAAGGCACAATCAACCTCGGAAATATACGGGTGGTTTCTTTTAATGAAGGAATCTATCAAAACAAAATAAATGTCTTCACTGATATTTGTTTCTTTAAGAAATAAATTTAAAATACTGGATGATGAAAACCATCTATTGATTATTCCTTAACTTTCTACTTAAATTACGTAATAAAATATGTACTGATAATCTTAACCTTAATGAATTCTGTGAATGGTTTTTTAAATATCCATATTGAATGTCACCTATGAATATTATTAGTTATTACATAATTTTTTATTTTTTTTAAATTAGTTACAACCAAGTTAAAAAAGATTTCATAATTAAATGTCAAATTTAGGACATTTTTAGACTGGGCAAAAATCATTAAGTTTGGTGTCAAATAAATTAATCATGCATATATGAAGACTACTTAATTGAGCAGACATTGCACAAAGCACACACATGATTTCATGGCTGTACCATTCCAGCTGAGGGAGGAACTGTTGCTTTTTTAACTTCGCTACTCTATGGGGTCAGTGCCGTCTTAAGGCTTGGCCACACAGGGCATTTGGTTAGTAAATTAAGGTGTCTTTCAAAAGGCAATATTTAGTCATTTAAATGAAGGATGTTGTAGTAGTTCCATGTAAACCTTTCAGGTTACAGGTTAGAAATTCATACTGTTTCATCTTCCCTCAAATAAATCATGTATTAATAATTATCTGACGCCTTTTTTGAATAGTTCCTTTCTTCTTTTTTATACCATTCAGATCAAATTTATTGTTTAAAATGACTTTTATTAAAATAGCCATACAAAATCTATAGATTTTTTCTACAAAACGGTATTTTTTCTCTTTTTTGTGGCTGTAAATTTTGGAAAAACCTAATTGAATTTTAAATAAATGCAAAATGGTAATTTTCCTTCTAATATAATAATAGTTTGTTTGTTGTTTTTTCTAAGAACAACTGTTTTGAACGGAATTACTTTCTTTTATTTTATTTTTTTTTAATTGATGAAGTTGTTTCAACAAATAAATAGTTTCACACAAAAATTGTGAAACATTCTATTTAGATACAACTAAAAATAAAAGGAATTGTGTAACCCATACATGATCAAGTGGACCTAATTGGCATCCCTTGTGTTGTTTACCAGTTAAGTATAGATAGAAGCAAAACTAATTTCATGTAAGTACCAAAATAAATTATATTTCTATCATTTGGAATTTATCGAAATGGGGGGGGGGGGCTTACTAAGACCCCCTCCCCCAACCAAAGCCTGACATGCTTCCCCGTTGATAAAAATGCCTGAAAGAAACTGGCCAAAACGCGTGGGCTAACGTTACTTGAGCAGTAGGTTATAGACAGAGCCGTGCCGAGGAAAAGCGGCGGACTAGTAAGACGGTTTTGTCGCCCCTGTCTGTGTGAAATATATGGCATTTTATAGTTTGAGTCACTATAAAGGGCCCGTCATTCGCATGACCCTGAGCATATAGTGGTATAAGGGACCTCAGTGCATTACTAGTGTGATATCTATCGAGTTCACTAATTGTGGAAAAACTTGGCAAAAGAACAACGTTATTTACGAAACTTGGTGATATTTTCGTCTTCTTTTTTAGTCCCTATATTTGAAGCTGATAGTAAAAAATTTTCCTCTTCACAACTTTGCGATCCTTAAATGTCCGAGGCCCCCCACCCCACCCCCGTTCTTTTTTTCTTTTTTTTAAAAAGGGTTAAAAAAAGTAAAAAAAAGATGGGGGACACTCCTTGCAAACAACTGTCTAGCTAACTTTCAAGAACCCCCGCCCCCTCCCCTCTTTTTAAAAAAAATTGGTTTTTTATGTTTAATCCCCCCCCCCCCAAGAAAATATGGATTTTTGTATTAATAATTAAGTCAGGGCTATGTTGTTGACGTTATTAAATTATGGATGAGGGCTATCTAAGTCTAAGTCTTATTAGTTTTCCTCATCACATTCAGCCAAATGTTCCTTTCATACAATAGTTCATAGTAACCGGGGACGGATTAACTCTTTGTATTCTGGATTTTTTTTCTTTCTTGAAATTTCTAGCGATTTTAAAAACAGTCATTTCTTTCTTGATAATGAAGTATAATAAATATGTAGGCCAAGTTTGATCAAGATCTATCAATCCATGTCGAAACGACGGCGGTACAATCAGACATAAGGACAAATTATGTTATCCTTTATATAGTAAAAAATATATTATACCTGAAAGATACATGAATTAACATTTTAAAGGTTATTAAGAGATTTTTTAGTTGCATATAAGACATACAACTAATTAAACAATCACCATTTACATATTGGTGCATAGGACTTTTACTTGGTTTTAATGGTTTTTCTTTGTCCAGTCTCTGGTCATTATTTCATCTCCGTAATAGTAATACAATTTAGACAGAAATTTATTGTGTGTGTTATATTAAGAAGCTTATGACGAACGTTATGACATACTGTATTTTAGTGGACGGGAGGACGCACACGAACAAGAGGTTGGATTCCTCGTCCACAAATACATTAAGAACAATATTATGAGCTGTTGACCGGTTTCGAGCCGACTAATCACTCTTCGTCTAAGGGCAACACCGTTCAACATCACCATCGTGCAGGCGTATGCACCAACTACAGATTATAGTGGTGATGAAGAAGATGTGGACGACTTCTACCATCAACTACAGGATGTGCTGAACCAAACACCCAAGAAGGACGTTCTTGTTGTTCAAGGTGATTGGAATGTCAAAATAGGAGAAGATGCCTATGAAAACTGTAAAGGAACGTGCGGACGCCACTGTACGCAACTTCAAACGAGAGAGATCTGAGGCTCTTGGAATTCGCGAGCTTCAACGAACTCATACTGGCCAATACATTGGGTGAACATAAAATGTCCAGGAAAACCACATGGCACAGCCCCAATGGGAAACATCACAAACAGATTGATTACATCATGTTGCTGACACGCTTCCGGTCTTGTATAAATATTGCCAAGACTCGCAGCTTCCCTGGAGCTGACATTGGAAGCGACCACGACCTAGTCATGATGACCTTTGGGCTGCACTTAAAGAGGGTAAACAAAAAAGGAAATACCAGAACCGAATTCGACCTTGAAAAGCTGAAGGATCCCAAAGTAGCAGAAGCCTTCCAAGCAATAATATGAGGAAAATTTTCAGCGCCTAACATCATAGATGCCGACTGTTCAGACATGGGCACAATGATTGATAACTTCAACTCAGCTGTGACGGACACAGCTCACGACATCCTTGGTAAACATCGACCAACCCGAAAACCATGGGTGACAGCTGACATACTTGATCTGTGTGATAAACGGAGGCAGTTAAAGAAAACAAAAATGGACTAAAACCATATGCCGACAGAATCATTACTGAAGAACAGGCAGGCTTCAGACAAGGACGTGGCACTAACGAGCAGATTCTAAACCTCCGAATACTGTGTGAGAAATATGCTCAACACCAACAAAACCTAGACCACGTCTTTGTGGACTTCAAGAAAGCTTTCGACAGGGTTTGGCATGCTGCTTTATGGGCCACCATGAGGCACTACAACATCAACACAAACCTCACCAGAATGATATGCAACCTCTATGATAAGGCCACCAGTGCAGTCTTCCTCAACAACAACATCGGAGAATGGTTCAAGACCACGGTTGGAGAACGACAAGGCTGCCTGCTCTCCCCCACCCTGTTTAACATCTTCCTAGAGCGAATTATTTCAGATGCTCTGGAAGCGCATGAATGGACAGTCAGCATTGGTGGCAGAACAATCACCAACCTACGCTTTGCGGACGACATAGACGAATTGGCTGGGAACGAAGAAGAGCTAGCCAACCTGGTAAAGCGTCTCGATAAGACCTCGTCGTCCTACGGCATGCTAATCAGTGCTGAAAAGACAAAACTGATGACAAATAACACCACAGGCATCACCACTGAAATTAAGGTCGGAGAGGAAAGACTAGAGACTGTAGGCCGCTTCAAATACCTAGGAGCAATAGTCTCAGAAGAAGCGATGTCCAGGATTGCGCAGACTACAACAGCCCTAAAGAGGCTCAACAAAATAAGGAATGACAAAAATATAGCCCCCCGCACCAAAATCAGGCTGATGCGCTCATTAGTCCTCTCCATTTTCCTGTATGCCTGCGAATCCTGGACATTAAAAGCCGATCTTGAAAAGAAAATAAAGGCGATGGAGATGAGATGCTTCAGAAGCATTTTTGGCATCTGCTATAGAGACCATATCTCCAATGATACAGTGAAAGAAAGGGTTCGCCGGACAATTGAGGAGTACGATGACCTACTGATGACTGTGAAAAACGCAAACTGCAATGGTACGGCCACGTAACAAGGAAACAAGGGCTTGCCAAAGAAATAATGCATGGCATCACAAGAGGAGGGAGGAGAAGAGGAAGAAAAAGATGGGAGAATAACATCAAAGAATGGACAGGACTAGCACTGGGCGATGCTGTGCGCAGTGCAGAAGACAGAGACGAATGAAGGAGGATGGTTCACATGTCATTTGTGGCGCCCCAACGGTCCAAGATGATGGTAATGATAACGAACGTACAACATGCACATAATTTGATATAAGAAAGGGAAATAAACTATGGACTGAAATTTGTATGTGTGTAACAAAAATTGTGCCTTTGAGACATTGTTATACTCAACAAAATGCACCAGCCCAGTCGGTGACGTATTCCGTCAAATTTGGTTGCGATCCATTGTTTTATTATTTTTTTTTTGCTTAAAATAGCTGATTAAGCTACATTCCTACAAATAAACAAGCATAGTCAAACAAGCTTTATAATTTGATTGCAGCACAAAATATTCCTAAAAATAAACAAGCATAGTCAAACAAGCTTTATAATTTGATTGCAGCACAAAATAGCTAATACAAAAGTTTTGAAACGTAACAGAACGTGTAGCATGGTCTCCGCTCGTAACAAGAGACGCCTTCGCTGAGTAGGCCATGTAGGAATAATGTAGGAATGGGGTTGAAATGGCTAGAGAGACTTTGCAATTGTATGCTAGTAATTAGTTTTTGTAGTGTTGCGTTTGTTTTAAATGTGGTAAATTATAGATTTGTATTTTGTTGACTTTGTACCGCGCTTCGAGCCTTTGGGGATGAAGCGTAATAAAAGAGTCTCCTGCTATATTGTCAGAAAATATTGGAACATAAATTTGTTCCATTCATCATTCGCAGTAAGTTGAGAGATTTGGAAGAAGCAGATGAAATATATGCTAGAGGGGTAGAAAAAGCAAATTTTGCATTCTATGGCTTTGTAACATATATGCAGCGTTGGTCTGTTCACTTTGAAAATTTTGAAATATTTTCTTGGGGAGTTTAAAAGTTTTCTCTTCCTGAAACAAGTTTCACTTATGCAAATGAAATCTTCCCAGGGAAAATTGTTGTTAGCGATCTCTTTGATGAACTAACTTATGTGAAGCAATTTTTGACACCTGCTAAGCTGGAAGAATAGAACTCGCAAAACATTTTTCAGATCAAAAATGGATGCAAATATTTCCACATTCACATTTCAAAAGGAATGAGAAAGCGCATCTGAAAATAACCTCTCTGACAGATATTTGGATTGTTCTGTGAAACATTGATAAAACGGGCTCTCAATTTTATTATATGCTTCTTGAGAATGGACATTAGTTAAAAGCTATTATTGGTTCTGCAAAATATTCACAATAGTTTGTAACAAAATGATATACAGAAGGATATTCAAAATTATACACAGCACAATTTTGTTGCTCCCCCACCCCCACCCCGGCTGGTATTATAACTAACGGTTGATGTGGGCCTTTTGTCCGTACTTAGTATCCAGAAAATCTGTTGGGACCCGGGTGGCTGCCCCCTTCGCCCCCATCCCCTTCGCATGGTCCTGGATCTTTTTAGGAATTTT